GCCGGGGTAGCGGGGAGGAGGAACGAGCGCGCGGGGTAGAGAGCAGGGGGCGCAGGCGGGCTCCGGATGGGGCCGCAGATCGCCGGGGGAATGGGTCCTCCCACCACTCTCCCGGGAAGGGCGGCAGGAGCGGCCCTTTGCCCCCTCGCTGCAGAAGTGCCAGCCAGATCCAAGAAGACCCAGAGCGGTCCCTCGCGGCAACGCGCTGGGCGATGGGGACTCCCTTTATCTCCCGCCGGCGATCTCTCCCCTAAGGCCAACACAGCCTCTCGCTCTCCGAAACCGTTTATTGTTTCTGAACACTTAGCGCTCCATAAATTTAGCCAAATGTCGAATTTAAATTTAGATTCAGGGTATTGGGCGCATGAAGTTACGGTTCAAGAAGCACCCCGTCGTATACAGGAGGCGTCAGATCATTGCTTGACGCGCAGCCTTGGAGTAACTGTAACGCTCTCAGTTTGCTGATGAAGCCCCCAGGACCTCGGGTTTAATTTGCCGCAAATCCGACACCAAGGCTCCATATCCCGCGCGCCTTCCACTGCATTTTGGAAAAATCCTCGGCTGGGTGGTGCGCCTGTTTGCCTGATGACTAATAATAATAACACGCTCCGCAGCCCCGAGTCGCCAGAGGAAAAGGCCCAGGCCCTTTGTTGTTCGCAGGTGAAGGTTCTAGATCTCGCATTTATCCGAGGTCCCAGCGGAGGCGCCCTGGCCCGCGAGGCGCGGCGCCTTTAAGAACTGGTCCCGCTCCGGTCAGGTGACCAGGCCGTCGCTTAGCAACAGGACGCCACGCCGATAGTGGCGGCTTTGCTGCGGAGCGGGTTTCCAGCCTTTTCTTCCTTCTCGCTGCTCCGGTAGCCAGAGGCAAAATGTCCCAGGAAGACCCCCAAGAGTGCGCGGAACCAGACGAGCAGAAGGCCAAGGCCCCCCCGGAGAAAACCAGCGACTATTACCGAGTGAGCGAGGACCTGCCGGCCAGGTTCAACAACCCCTGCTGGTTTCGGGGCTACAGGTGAGGAAAGAGGTGCGAGGTGAGGGGAGCTGCAGTCTGCGCCAGGAAGGAAGGAGAGGACGCCTGGTCCAACGAGGTGGGGGCAAGGTGCCACGAGCTGCTCTTGGCACCCAGCGCTCAGATAATCTGGTATGCAGGGGTCCTCCAGACCCCCCAGCCTCTCCTGGCCCCCGAAGGCAAAAGCCTTGCGTCTTGTGCTGTCGGGAACCCACCGATAGCTGTGAACATGCTGCCCAAAACTTGCAAACCTACACAGGGGGCGGGGGTGGGGGAGGCTTGGTCATGCAGGCCAGGGCAGTGGGGTGGAAGGGACCCCAGGGGAGGCCAGAAAGCCCAGGTCTGGGCCCAGCGCCACCATGTTGTGTGCCCTGGGGCAGGTCTCTTGTGAGGCCTCACCTGCAAAACCTTTGTCCAGGGGCTGTTGGTAGAACCCACCTCCTGTTAGCTATTAAAGTGCTCTGAACACTCGCGGGGACTTCAGTACAACCGAACAAAACGTTGGCTGGTCCTGCATCATTCTCACAAGCTCTGGCACGTTTGAGCCCATTGTTGCAGCTTTTATGCCAGTCCCTCTCTCCAACGGTCTCCCTCGCTGTCGCTGGCCCTCTCCTTCTCCAGACACAGTGTCCTCCTATATCAGTTGATCTCTCCTGATGACGGGTCTCAAGCAAGTGAGTTGGACAACGTTGTGTTGTGATCTGTAGGTTTTCATTGGCTCATGTTCTGGAGCAGCTTGCCAGCCCTTTCTACCCTAATGAATAACAACAGACATCTATTACTGCGGGCCCTGTGCTCAGCTCCTTGCTGCTCTCCAGCATCTAATCCCCTCAGCAGTCCTAGGGAGCAAGGTCTCCTGTTGTCTTTGTTTCCCCGTTGAGGCTCGTGAGATGTAGAAAGGCACTAACTTGTCCAAGATCCTGTAGTTAGCATGCGGCCACGCTCTTTAAATGCAAAGCCTGCCCAGGTAAATAGTTCAGCTGGCAGGGACCATGGATACTGCAGATTTCAGGCAGGCTTCTTCTTGGTCTGCACTGGTGGAAGCATGGCCTCTGCAAGCTGGGACCCAGAAGCCCAGGGACCCCCGGGTGGCAGGTCTGGAGGCTGACAATGCCAAGGCCCCATCAGCCAGCACCCCGTGGTCCCCTGGAGGGGACCCATGGAGGCTCAGCCTGCCAGCGCGGGGGGTCATACGCTTTCTTGAGGCTGCCGTAAACAAATCCCACACAGCGGGCACCTTTAAAGAACAGACATTTCTTGTCCCGCAGTTCTGGAGACTGGAAGTCCAAATTCAGGGCCCCAGCGGGGCCACGCACCCTCTATCGGCTTTAGGGGAGGAGTCTTCATACCTGTTACAGTTTCTGGGAGCCCCAGGCATTGCTCGGTGTTCAGTGGCTTGTGGACCATCTTCACGTGACTGCCTCCTCCCTGTATCTCTCTGTCTGTGTCTCTTCTCCTCTTTTATTAGGACACTGCTCAGATTAGGTCAGGACCCACCAGCCCTGCTGAGCTCATGTTAACTGATCACATCTGCAAAGACCCTTTTTCCAGACAGGGTATGTTCACAGGTACCGGGGTTAGGACTTCAGCACATCTTTTGTGGGGACACAGTTCAACGGATGACAATGCCCTTTGGGGCTTTGGCCGCCGTGGGAAAGAGCAGGGCAGTGGGGAGCAGGAGTCGGGGGGTTGCGCCTGTCAGGCAGGTCCACCCCGCACACTGGGGGCCACACTCACAGGGCATCCCCTGCTGGGGCACATCACTCTCTCCTTGGGGTGTTTCAGATGAAGCCCCGTCCACCGAACCCTTGAAGGCTGTGACTGGGGTGGAGTTAGAGTAAGTCGATGGAAAATCGATGTGTTTCTCATCTGACAGGACCAAGGAGCCTGGCTCCATGTACAGGACCAGCAACCAGGCTTATGGGGGCCAATCCCCCACTGTGCACGAGATGCCGGTGAGTGGGGAGCACGGCGGCAGCAGGGCATGTGGGGGAGGGGGCAAAAACCCGGAACTGTCAAGGCAGCAGCACATCGAGAGGTGGGGAAGGGCCCAGAGCCCCAAAACTCACTGCCGTCTAGGCGATTCCGACTCATAGTGACCCTACAGGACAGAATAGAAGTGCCCCATAGGGTTTCCAAGGCTGTAATCTTTATGGAAGCCGACTGTCACATCTTTCTCCCGTGGAGTGGCTGGTGGGTTTGAACCACCAACCTTTTGGTTAGCAGCTGAGGGCTTTAACCACTGTGCCACCTAGGCTCTTTGGGGTGGGCCTGGAGGCCCCAAATCATCAAGGTGGAGGGAGGCACCTCAAATCCTTTTGGAACAAGGCAGGGGAGAAGTAAATGAATGAATTTAATACTAAACCATTTTAAAGGATGAGAAAGGTGGGTGTAGTTTGCTACAACATTCTGAAAGGCTGGCCCGATCCCCATTCACTTGTACACACACACGTACACACACGTGCACAAAACTATCTCTCGTAACTAAAGCAGTAAGCTTTGAGGCAAATAAACGAAAAACTACTTTATTTCTGGAATTACTAATTTATCTTCCGAGATAGTAACTTAGGACCTGAGGCAGGTTCCACTGCAGCCTGGAAGCACAGGTGGCAGAAGGCCGAGGCACAGGGTGGGCCCCGGGGGTCTGAGCCCATCTGGGAAAGCTAGGCCACTGTGAGACTGACCTCACACCAGGGAGGCCCCTCCTAGAGCCCCCTGGATGCCCCTGTTGGGTCCAGGTGCAGGGCCAGATGGATCAATGGAATCATGCCCTGGGTGCCCAAGATGGTAGGGCCACCTGTTCTCGGGGTGAGGATGTTGTTTTTTCCCCTTCCAAATAGTCATCATTTAAAGATCAGGATAACTGCCTGCCCAGGTGCTTTGCATGGGTTACAGAGCGCTTGTGGTGAAGACATCGATGCCATCGAGTCGATTCTGACTCATAGCAACCCCATGCGACAAGGTAGAACTGCCTGATAGGGTTTCCTAGGCTGTAATCTTTATGGGAGTAGATGGACAGGTCTTTCTCCTGCGGAGCCTCTGGTGGGTTCCAACTGCCAACTTTTCGGTTAGCAGCCAAGAGCTCACGCCGTTGCGCCACCGGGGCTCCTTAACGATGAGATTCATCTAAAAATTTTCTAGAGTCCTCGAGAGTCACTTTCCCACAATCAGATGATTCTGAGTTTTCCCTCAGGATCAGGGATTTCTGAGGGCAAGGAAGGCCAGCACACTGGCTGACTACCATGGGTACAGATGTTTTAGTTTTTATAAAAGACTATCAGGAGAATGTTCATGTCGCGGATTTTGAGAGTTTTCTGTTCACTGGTATCACCAGACCCAGGGAATGGGGGCGGGTTCGGGAGGAGGTGCTTCCTGCTTCTCAGCCACCTGCTTTATCTGGAGTCCGGAGTCGAGTTTCTCGACCGAGTGTGGGTCCTGGATGCTAGGAGTGTTTACTTCCCACGTGGGAACAGGAAGTAAAAGGGCTTTGCAGCCATTTCTCTTTGCACTTGCTTCCTGCCAAGGAATCAAAACATCACGTGATCTGCTTGGGACAGTGGTGGTCTAAGAGCACATCGCCTGTCCAGGGTCAGATATCCGGCAAAGGTCCAGGCCGCTTACATCAGTAACCTCAAGGTCACTGTCTTGCTTATCTGGTGCTGCAATAACAGAAATACAAGTGGACGGCTTTAACAAAGAGAAGTTTATTCTCTCACCGTCTGGGAGGCTACAAGTCGGAATTCGGGGTGCCAGCTCCAGGGGAAGGCTTTCTCTCTCTGTTGGCTCTGGGGCAAGGTCCTTGTTATCAATCTTCTCCGGTCGGGAAGCTTCTCAGCGCAGGGACCCCAAAGGATGTGTTCTGCTCCCAGCACTGCTTTCTTGGTGGTATGAGGTCCCTATGCCTCTCTGCTCACTTCTCTCTTTTACATCTCAATGGAAATTGACTTTAGTCACAACCTAATCTTGTAGATTATGTCTTGCCTTATCAACGTAACTGTCTCTAATCCTGCCTCATTAATATCATAGGATTTACAACACATAAGAAAACCACATCAGATGACAAAATGGTGGACAATCGCATCATACCGGGAATCATGGCTTAGCCAAGTTGACAGATACTTTTGGGGACACAGTTCACTCCGTGACAGTCACCTAATTGTGCTAGCATCATTCCTAACACTGCGTGCTTGCACACGAGTGGCCGTGGCCTTGCTCCCCCACACCCCTTGGCACATGCGTGATGCTTCTCAGCCTCCATGGGGCAGCTCCTCCCAGATGTCTCTGCTGGGATGCTGGGGGTGGGCATCGGGATTTTTTTTTTTTTTTTTTGATTTAACGATCATAAATTTATTTTCTCACAGTTTTGAAGGCTAGAAGTCTGAAATCAGGAGAGTTTTTTTTCAAGCTCTACAAATGATTCTAATACACAGTCCAGGTCAAAAGACATCGCTGTAGATATTACCTCTACTCCACAGAAGAGAAAACAGAGGTTCAGAGAGGTCCAGTAACTTGCCTAGAGTAATACAGCTGGCAAAAGCAGAACCAGGGGTCACTCCGGGGCTGACCCCCAAGGTAATGCTCAGAACCACATCCAGGGTGTGTAAATGCCACACCCAGGTGGCCACTGAATTTCTTTTTCTGAGAGGGAAAGGAGGCACCCCTAGTAATCATATGAGGCACTGGTGGCTTAGTGGTACAATCCCCACCTTGCATGTTGGAGACCTGGGTTCGATTCCCGGCCAGTATACCCCATGTGCAGCCACCACCCGTCTGTCAGTGGAGGCTTCTTGTTGCTATGATGCTGAACGGGTTTCAGGAGAGCTTCTAGACTGAGATGAACTAGGAAGAAAGGTCTGGCAATCCATTTCCGAAAATCAGCCAAGGAAAACCCTATGGGCCACAATGGTCGGATCCACAATCAATGATGGGGATGACACAGGACTGGGCAGTGTTTCGTTCCATGGTTCATGGGGTTACATGGGGTCACAGGGGCTCAACTCAGTGGCAGCTAACAACACCGCAGATAATCTTGCCCAGACAACAGGCATACACTCGGATGGTCTGGGGCAAACCGGGGCGTTTGGCCACCCTGGCTTTTCTTTACCAGTAATGAGAGACATTTGTTACAGTTTTTTATTTTTCTTCCAAAAATCCCAGACGACGGATTGCTTGAGTGTGATGGAGTATCATCCATCCGAGTCTTCCTTTTTGCTTCCAGAAAGTGTTTTATCCTCATTCGAGTAAATTTTCCCAACACCTCGCAGCCTTCGGGATGTACCGGAGTAACACCTTTAACGTCGGCATGGAGAGCAGCTTTGTGACAGGTCCGGACAACCACATCACCCCCTACGACCGTCTTAATTTTCACCCCAGCTACAACACCAACAAGCCGTCCATCTGCGACTGAGCACCCCCAACCCGAGCGGAGGCAGGCCCCAGAATCACCCCTGGGCCTCGGTCGTTTCCCTGGCGTGGTGGTTCAGCCTTCACTGCTGTCCCAGAAGCTAACGTTCCTCTCTGCAGCAGGGAAACAGGCTGCCTTTCCTGCTTTATTTTACACCTTAGATGAACACGGGAAAGATGCTAATCGTGTGACTTTCCATTAAAACGACTGCCACTACTGGATTCCCAGCCTCGACTGATATCTGTAACCAAGGGGCAGGCTGTAGGCACATTGGGGTCCGAGTCCGGCTGAGTGCTGGGGATGCATGGATGCCACCACTGCGTCTTTACTGGGGAGCCGTTTTTTACACGCATGACAAGTTAGGGAGCAGGTGTCGTGTTACAGAGCACCCTGGCCGAAATCTGCAAGGCCATGGCGGGAGGGTGGGTGTAGACAGGGCAGCGGCATCCCCCCCATCGCTGCTGGGTGAGGAGAGTAGGGCCCACAGGCAGACGCTGTGCCAGGGAAGCTCCACGCTGAAGCAGGCGGGCAGGTGTCAGCACTGGGCCTGGGTGATGGGAGGTGCAGTCAGGTGGACGTACAGCCAAGCCCCCTCCAGACACACAGACGGGCTGGGGGAGGGCCACAGAGGACGCCAGGCTGCAAAGTGCCATGCACTGGTGGGGGCTGATGCGCACACAGGGGTTCTTTTATTTTAAAATTTCAATAAAAAGCTTTTTTTAAAAAAAAAAAAAAAAACCAGGCAGGGAACCACCTGTGTTTTCCTAAGGCGAGGGTAACAACGTTCAGTGGATTTTTTGTCTATACGCACTCTGAAATTCTGAGTTAGAGGGGACTCGGTAAGAAAGAAAAATTCTCTGACAGGATCTTCCTTTCAGATGTAGATTGTTTGCCTTGCTTTATGAGAGCAACAAATGCTTGTTACAGGAAACCTGGACAATTTAGAACACTAGAGAGAAGAAACGGCCTTTTAAAACCCTCGATGATAGCTTGTTTACAGAGGTCTTTATCCAAAGGGATTCTACCCGTTGATGAATTTCGGAAGAAATTAAGACGCCATGACTGGTTATTTCTTCATTGTAAACTTTTTATTATTAATAATAAAAGTCAACATTTTGGCAACATTCTTAATGTCCAATATGGAATGGAAATAGTTTCCAGAGAAAATCAAAAGTATTTAATAAAAAAAGACACAAAGCTGAACCTGGGACTGAGCCTACAGCGTCTTTCTCCTCAGCTGGAAAACCCCTGGGGGCTCCGCTAAACGGAAAATTTTTACAGCCCCTTGTTGAAAATACCAGGTGCTGATAACCCTTCTGCCTTTCGCCTCTATTGACATAAAAAAGCCAAAGAATGTTGTCTTAGCCATGTCTCTGAACATACTGAAAAGAACAAATTCCGTCCTCAACAGCTGATTCTGAAAAGCAGGTTAGAACTCGGGGCATGGTGAAGCCACCAGCAAGAGTCACTTTTCCCCCAACCTGGGACTCTGGGCAACTGCAGCCTTGTATCTAAGCAAGGCAGATAGCTGAGAGAACCCCTCGGGAACCTGGACAAATCCCCAGTCCTAATTGGGGATATCCAGGCTCCAAATGGGAGGATCAATAGAGCTGACTTTGACAAACAAACAGAGTTAATTCTGATGTCATAAGCACAGAAATGCTTCAATTGTTCCTCTGCATTGAAATGTTTTCTGTGACGGTCTGTTTATGAGTTAAATTTAGACTCTACATTTAGTCTGGAAAGCTGGAAAACGCAAATACCTGTGACGTAACAGACATGTCCATCTTGAAAACTCAGTAATGTCCTGCCTTCTGTACCCGGGCCCCCGTGAACCCTGGGTGGCTGGGGGCTTCTGGTACCCGGCCCCCGTGAGCCCCGGGTGGCTGGCAGCCTCTCCACTTGACTGCTGTCGGGCCTTTCTCAGAGAGCTCTGGGCACGGGCACCTCACCGGGTCCTCGCAGCTGAGCAAGGCAGGTCTTACCTCTGTGGTTGATGGGGACACATGGGTCCAAAGGAGGTTCTGGGCCCACGGTTGTACCTGGCAGTTTCTGGGCTGAACCTGCCTTGGGGGTATCCTGGGAGGTGTGAGGTCCTCAGCATCTGACCCCGCAGACAGGGCCCTAACTTTCTACTTGTTTGTACAAGTCACATAGGAACTCCAGTGATTATAAATTTCAAGAACCTTGTATTTTTATTTCCAAACTGAAATCTTTAAGGTTGGGGGGGGGGTTTAGATTCATTGATCTAACTGAATGGGAAAAGAATGTATTTTCTGTTTGTGATTATTGAATATAAAAAGGATGGCTGAAAATGATACCCAGTCACCCTTCTGACATTTTTGGTGCTGTTCTTTCTTTCCAAATCTCCAATTCAATCAGAACTACTGCAGAAAAGGTGTCTTACACCAGTGACAAAACCAGTTTTCAGAAATTATTAAAAAAAAAAAAATTCTTGTTGCGGCGAGTCAATTCCGACTCATAGTGACCCTACAGGAAAGAGCAGAACTGCTCCACACGGTTTCCAAGGCTGTAACCTTAACAGAAGCAGACTGCCACATCTTTCTCCCATGGAGCAGCTGGTGGGTCTAAACCACCAACCTTTCAGTAAGCAGCTGAGTGCTTTAACCACTGTGCCACCGGGGCTCCTAAAAAAAAAGGGGGGGGCCTAACAATTTTTGAAAACCTCCCTCTTCATGCCATGACTAGGTCTTTGCTTTATTTGGCCTTTTTATTCTACTCGGAAATTAAAATTTGAAAAATAAAGTTTCATATCCATTTACTAATCCCTTAATTTAGCTGCTGAGCTGGCTCCCACCAGCAACTTCTTATTCTAAAAGTATACTGTCACCTCATCTAACAGTTCACTGTCATTTACATTCCTATATTTTTATCCAATGACCTTTTATCTTTTAATTATAGTAGATTCAAGGGTTTCAAATACAGTTATATTGACACTGAAAAAAAAAATCTGCGCCCAGCACACAAAATGCTAGAAGCCTCAAAAAGATTTTACCAACAATGTTAATATGTCCCCCCTCACGGGACAGCCACACCTGGGTCAACATCTGGCTGTGATGTGCAGGTATGGACCGTGGGGTTTGTTCTGTTTTCCCTCACAAGGCCCTTTAACTGGAGGGGAGGGATCAAGGAGGCAGTACATTTTATAAAATTTTAATTAAATCATATTTATTACTATTTTTACGGCCTGATTTTCTAATGCCAAGTATCTGACAGTTCAAATTTGGAGCAGCACATAAAACAAAAGTGGACCCATCCCCGTTCCTGTACAAAGAACCTGTTCTATTAGGATGTGGGTGAAGCATCCATCATCAGCCACTGGGCTTTTTCCCTCTTCCCTCACCCCTGCCGCATTCCCCTGGGACTTCTGAAATACACCTGTTCTTCTAGGAAAGGGGTCCTTCTGCACAGACACCGTGACCGCAGAATGGCCTGCCTTGGAGCACAAGACACCTCTTCAGTCAGGCCTTGTCCCGTACCCCCTTTGTGCGAAATGAACTGAACCCCTAGGCCAGGCATGCAGCCCTACGTACTCCCCACCCGCTCGGACGTTGCTGTTGAGTCTGACTCGCAGCGACCCTATAGGACAGAGTAAAACTGCCTCATAGTTTCCAAGGAGCGCCTGGTGGATTCAAACTGCTGACCTTTCGGTTAGCAGCCATAGCTCTTAACCTCTACGCCACCAGGGTTTCCAGACGGATGTTACAGACTGTCAAAGAGCTCAGTGTAGTAGCCCACTGGCTACCCCACCTGACTCTCTGCACGCTGGCTGCACATCTAGCGTTTCCCGTAGCAGCCGAAGAACACGCTTGTGCACAGCCGGGGGCTGCAAGGCGCTCAGCAGCCACCGCTCCTGGGAGGCACCCACCTGTCCCCACTGCTCTGTCCACTCGGGGACCTGTCGGCAGGGGAGCAGCCCGCAAAAAGAACACCGGGCGGAGTGGTGTGCACGTGGAAGTACCATCAGCGTGTCTCTCCCTCTGTGCAGGTGGTCAGTGCAGGTCCACACTGCACCCAAAGAGGACAGACTCCATAAACCGACTCACGAGCAGGGCTTGGTTTATTAGTATCCAAAAAAAAAAAAAATTTCCTACATACAAAACAAGTTGGCTTTCGCGTTTGAGTGTTAAAAGTACTCTTTAAAAAATTAAATAAAATCAAAAGTACGGGTTACATGGAATTGTTTTTCCCAGAAGCACTTGAGTGAACGCGTATGTGACAAAGAGGACGCCACACACAAACGAGACGGGCACCAGTCACGTGAACCACAGAGCCCGCCTGTCACAGCTTCGACACAGCTAACACTGACTACAGACGACAGCGAAAGGTCACACCCAGGCAGAGTGGGCGACGCCAAACCCAGGAAGGACGTACACAAGTTCACTCTGCGTCAGAACACCCACCAGGTTCACGGAACTGCAGCACTGGGTTGTCAGACTCCGGCAACCGGTGGAAGTTTGCGGGGCAAGCACGACGTGCCCGTTGTAACCGACGATGCCCGGCGCCGTGTGACACAACTTCTTTCTTTACAGTAGCCGTGGGCACCGCGGGGGCCTCAGAGCAGAAGCACAGGGCACCGGTACTTCTACTCTGCAAGGCAGCACCGTTCCGCTCAAACGTCCACCGCCCGATCCAAGGCTGGGAGCAGGCCAGAGGCCGTGGCCTTCAACCACGGCGCAGCACAGGAAGGGTCCCTCCAACTCCAGCTTTCTGGACGCTGACTCCCAGAAAGCCACCAGCGTTTGCTTTGTTGTCTGGGTGCATCCCTCACTAGACTCCAGGTCCTGGAGGGCATCGGGGTGTGTGTGTTGGGGGGGTTGTCCAGAGAGCTGGGCTGGAAGCATCGGCAGCGCTCAGGTGCTTTGGGAGAGAACTCACCAATTCTAACGGTGCTCATTTGGTCGCACAAATCAAGAAACGGAAATTTAAAATGCACGTGTTGTCCGTTACCTTTTAGAGCCATGGTGGAAAATGAGGAACAGCTGCTCCCATACAAAAAGAAGTTTATTTAGAACGTATAACAATCTAGGAATCGGACAAGATTAGACAGGAAACCACATGGGCTTCAGAAGAACAAACTGCAGAGCAAGCTGGGGCTGTGCTGGGAAAACGGACGGGTTTCCCCGGGCAGCAGGGCGGCCCCATCGCCCGCGCGAGGCCTTTGTGCTTTGAAACTTTTCCCACCCAAGGCTCTGGCTGTGGTTTTCAAAGGAGGCGCTCTGGCCTCTTGGGACTGGGGTCCTCTAAATAATAAGTGCTGTGCTGTCAATGGCCCAGCAGAGGTCTCGGGGGTATTCTGGGGATTCTCAGGAGAGAATCCGAAAGGCTGGAGCCACGGGCACGAGGCAGCCGCTCTCGCCAGCCAGCGGCCGAGCGCCCCGGTCTCTGCCTGCAAACCTGGCTGTGACAGTGAGAACGAGCGCTGGCTGGTCTGAGACGTGTGCAGTGGTGAGCACCCTACAAAACCAGACGACTGTGTTTTCCAAAAATATTGTTTACAGCACTTTCAATAATTTACAAAAAGCTACAAAACCCATGTTTGCCAGGACAGATCTGTTAAATAAAAATACTGTTCCGTGTCAGCGTACATACGTACAGGCTCTTACGGCAGGCCAGGGGTCCTCCCCGGCAACCACAGGCATGATCTACTCACGCACAGACACACGCATGTCCACGGCTGTCCAGGCACAGCCACGCACTCACAGCTGGAGGGCTCTGCCCTGCGCTACCCCGCCACTGCCGTCCTCCATGGAGGTGTCACTGAACTCGCTGGCATCGCTGCCCAGAGCCTCCTGGTCCTCACTGTCTCTATCGACAACCCTGCGTCTGTACCTCAGGTCTAGAAGGTTCTCTTCCGACCCCGAGGTCCTCCTGTCGGGCAGCCCGAGGCCTGCCGGGGCCTTCCTGCTTGGCCAGTGCCCACCGTCCTTCTTCACCAGCAGGTGGGAGCTTCCGAACATGGGGCTGGGGCCCAGCGGGGCCTCCCGGAAGGCCGAGAAGGAGGGTCCCTGCAGTGGCAGGCCCAGGTGGGAGCTGAAGAGGCTCGCCTGCTTGCCCCCCCAGGAAACGCTCTTCCCAAAATGGAACAGCTGGGTGGACAGCAGGGGGGCAAAGCCGGCGAAGGGCAGGCTCTTCTCGGAGTCCACCGCCAGGCCAGAGGGGCACTTGGCTGGCCCGTCTGTGCCGCTGTCTCTCTCAGCCCCGAGGCCCCCCTTCCATGCCGCATCTGGGTGCAGTGCCCATGTGCTCTGGAGCCTGCTCTGTTGGGCAAAATTGCTCCATGGGCTGGCGAGGTTGGCCTGGGGCCGGCCGCTGAGGAGCATGCGGCTCCCCCTCTCCGTCCCAGGGCTCGGGCTCAGCAAGCTGCAGCTCTGGGGGCTCACCTGGAAGGCACCGGCGTGCTCCGCCTCCACACCGGCATGGGCACCACTGGGCAGCTGCCCAAAGGGACTCTCTGCAGCGGTGGGCTCTGCCCCTCGCTGATTCTGGTCTTTGCTGCTGTAGGTGTTCCTCCTACTTGCGGGGGACCGTTTGGCAGAGAAAGCCCCACTGGCACTCTTGAGGGGCGCCGGCCCACATTTGTCTGGGGCGGCTGGGAGGCCCTTGGCACCCTGGCCAAAGATCCTGGCCGCGCTCTGTACCCCGGCGGCTCTCTCTGTGCTCCTTGGCCCCTCGGCCAGCTGGGAGGCTGCCCGGCCCCTCTGGCTCCGTGTGCACACACCAGGTGCGGGGGCCAGCACTGGCTCTTTTCTGCCCCCCAGTGTCTCTGGCCTCGGAAGTCCCCCTGCCCCGAGAACATCTGCGCAGTTCACGGACTCCTTGGCCTTCTCGGCTAGAAACTTGCGGATCTCCAGCTCGATGCTGTCCTCGCTGTCCACCGAGCTGTTGTCGTCAGACACGGTGACGGGGCTCGAGGCGGAGCGCAGGTTTTCGTGGACTTCCACTTCATCGGAGAACAAACTTCCCTCTGGGGCCTTTTTCCTCGGCCGGAAAGCCAGGGGCCCGTCCCCACTCCCAGCACCGCGTGTCCATGTTCTGTCCCCTACGCCACAGACGCCGGCCCCAGCTCTCCTCGCTGCGTTCTCCCTGCCGTCCTTTCTGGATTGTGCGAGGCAGCTTTTCGGCAAACAAGGGCTCCTGTCTTTCCAGTCTTTCTGGACGCTGCCTGGTGACATCTCTGTGGCGCTGAAGCGGACCCTCTTCTTGCACGCGGCAGTTCTGGGCTCCCTGCACCTCCTCTTGAACTTGCGCCTGGACCTGAGCAGGTCCTTGATGGCGGTGTCCAGGTCCTCGTCACTGTCCAGCGAGCTGCTCTTGTCGTCCAGGCTCCTCTTCTCACCCACACCTCTCGCCTCGTCCACCTGGTGGTGCGACGTGCCGCCTCCCACGTCTGGGGCCACGAGCTCGTCGCCGGGCCCGGCTGTCTTGCGGGGGAGAGGCTGGCTCCCTGCCTTGGCCTCCTTGGCTGGGGCCTCGGTGGCTCTCCCTTGGTTGGGCACGTCCCGCCCATCATGGCTGGGCTGATCACCCGCCTGGCTGTGCTCAGCATCCCGGGAACCCTCCTTACTTTTCTTCGGTGCTGACGGTTTTACGGTGCTGCAGCTGCCTCTACGTTTCCTTCTGCAGCTCAGCGGCACATCCGGTGTCTTACAGGGCGGGGCCTTGGGGCCGCCAGCCTGGCTGTTGGCCCCAGGCGACGACCGTGGGCTCCATGTGGGTGGTGGGCAGCTCTCAGCGCGGGCCAGCAAGCTCCCCGACTGTGCCTTCAGGGCCAAGAATGTCCGGATCTCCTGCTCGATGCTGTCGTCGCTGTCCACGGAGCTGCTGTCCCCGTCGGAGCGGGAAGGCACGCTGGGGGCGGAGAAGAGCGGGCTGGTGTGCAGGGGCCGGCCACCGGCTCCAGCGGGTGCTGGCAGGATCGTCTTGGAAATGTCCAGGATGGCTTCAGCGCACATCAGCTCGGCGGACGTGTCTGCGTGGCAGGAGGCCCGGTCTGCACGTTCACTCTTGGTGGCTGTGTCTCCTGGCGGCGGCGAACCTTTGGTGTCCTTTGGGGGCCTGGCGGGATGGCCAGAGTCAGGGGCGCCCGGGCCCACCTCTGAGGCCTTTGGGGCTGCTGGCTTCTTCTTGGTGGCGGTTTTCCGGCGGGTTTCGGGCAAGGCACTTTTTGTGGAGGTGCACGTGCTGTTGGTAGAAGAGTTGGGCCCCTTCTCCTCTCTGAGCTGGGCTCTCTGCAGCGGGTCCCCGCCAGCCTCCTTCCGCGTTTTCTCTAGTTGGTAGAGCTGAATGGCTTCCTCGATACCGTCATCACTGCTGGAGTCGGATGCCGCGGGCGCCAGGGCCGCACTCCTGGCCTGCTTCCCCCTCCGCCCGGCACCCACGCTCCTCTTAGCGCCCCCTTTGTTCTGAGGTGTGTCCGGAGGGCGGCACATGGCCGCTGGCTTGGCGGCTGCTGGTCTGGCGTTGCTTGAGGCCTCAGGCTCAACAGTGACTTTAGCCTTGGGGCCTCGCAGCTGCACGCTTGTCCCCTTCTGTTTTCGGAAGACAAACTCCTTGCCGGCGCCCGTGGCGTGCTGGCAGTGTACCCTCGCGGCCGGCTCTCTACTGGACCGCGGTGCCAGTCTTGCCGGGATTTCACTCGCGTCTGGCTTTTTATCCACGGGAACGTCACACTTCTGGATTTCATGTTGCTTTTTCTCATTCAGAAACTGCTCTATCTCGGCCTGGATACTCTGCTCGAAAGAGTCGTCACTGCTCACACTCACGGGGGAGGTGGCCCCCGTGGGGCTTCCAGGGATGCCTCCTGCTCCAGGTTTGGCAAGACACAGGGCGGTCACGCTGCTGCTCTGGGGCGGTTCCGGCTTGCCTCTGCTGCCCTCCTCTGCATCCCCTGAAGGCAGGGACCCACCAGGCACAGGCTGGGTGCTGCCGCTCTTGGCCTTCAGATACTCCTGGATTGCTTCCTCGATGTCGCGGTCCACGGAGTCATCACTGTCTGAATCCAGCACTAGGGGGCCAAAGTCCGCAGCCTCCTCCTCCTCCGTGGGGTCGAAGTCAGCGGCCAGCGTGCAGGCGGCGAATGTGGGCTGCTCCCTGGGCACGGCCGGGTGGGCAGCAAGCCTGGCATCGTGGCACCGCTCCCCCCGGTGGCTTCTCTGCGCAGCGGGCTCATTGTTCATGCCCAAGGTGGCCCCGTTGCCCCGCAGCGTGCTGATGACCATCTGCACCTCGGTGCTGACTGCCGCCTTCGCCACGCCCTCCGTGGACTCCGAGAAGCACCCAGAAAACCTAAAGCTTCCCGATGGGCCGAAGGGCTCCCATTTTGACTGGAGAGCAACCACAGGCGGGGCGTTCATGAGGAACATCCTAGCGGGTGGGAGGGCACGCGGAGAGGCGGTTCCTGTGCGTTCCTGCCCGCTTCACACCCTGGGAGGAGAGAAAAGCACGTGGGTATGACGCGTCCAAGACAACAGCCAAAGGACTTAACGTTGTACGTGGCAGCGAAGACACGGCACGCCGCGGCTGTTTTCTTGAAGATTTCTGACTGCCAGAAATCATATGAAAGATAGCTAATCGAGAGGCTGAAAGGACAGTGAGTACGTTGTTTTGGGGGAAAAGACTATCGCTAACTTAAGGGCCTAAATTGGAATTTTGGAAGAACTTACCCTGAGAACAAATACATCCAATCACAGTCAACTTGTAATCATCCCTGACAACGACCACCAGCTCTGACACTGTCGTGTGAGGGGAGGGGAGGGGAGGGTATTCTGCCCATTCTCAAATTCTGGCACCCCATTAAAGCCCATGATCCCCCCATAGTCACCTCTGGAAAGAGCAGTGGAGACACACAGTGGGGGAGACGGGCTGTCACTGGCTAGGACCATGTGCAGCGGCCTAGCTGGGGGCATTATTCAAACTGCCTCCACAGAACTAAAGAAATTCCAAAACACATTCGCACGAGCCTTGGGAGTCAACAGCGAAGGGTCTAGATCGCGAACATTAACCTCTTAAACAGCAGCACGGCCTTAGACACAGACCCAGGACAGACGAGCTGAGATTTTTAGCAAATAGCGAAGTTGGCAGGAGGCCCTGGGTGCTGCAGTTAACGCACTTGGCTGCAAACGGAGAGGTTAGAGGTGGGAGTCCACCCAGCGGCACCTCGGAAGAAAGGCCTGGCGATCTACTTCCAGAAAACCAGCCACTGAAAACCCTATGGAGCCCTCTGACACATGTGGGGTCACCATGAGTCGGATCGACTCGACAGCAGCTGCTGGGTGGTGGAGCAAAGCTGGGGGTGGGGGGTGGGGGGTCTGCAGAGGAAAAACACTCCTGCCTGCACTAACTGTGTTTATCATGCTTTTAAATGTTTGTAGATACAGCCTGGCCTCCTAGTGAAGTCTTCTGAGCTGTCAAGTTACCTGTCTCAAGAACGAAAAGGAAAAAATCAGGGACTCTCTCGGGGACACCTTGCAGCTTTAAAACCATCAACTACGTCAGATGAATCATTCTAGAAAACTTCCTAAACTGTAGTTGGAGCAAACTGTGAGACACAGTAAGTGGTCTGGCTCTGCCAGACTGCTATCTGTACCCCAGCACCCCAAATCCGGAACACCCAGCACCTGCACCCCAAAGCGTGGAAGACACCTGTCATCTCAGCTGACACCAACCTCCTGCTGTGATAAAGCCAAGTTTAAACTTGATCATCTTCAGGCTACCTGCAGGAGAAAGCCCCAAACCACCTCACCAAAAAGCGGTTCAGCTCCAGGCTCGACCTCCTGGGATGGGGTGTCTCCTGCAGGTTAGGGGAAGAGAGCTATGCAGGGTAGGAGCCGGTCCAGGAGAGGTGGGCGGGAGGGGGCTGGCTACAAGTCGTCCATCCTTTCCAGAAGCGGATGTTTTACATCGCAACAAGGCTTCCACCGCCAAAAGCTGCAGTGCAATTCCCGTTCCTGTGCATCCGGGGCAAGGTGGGACCCTCAGGGCTGACCCTGCCCTGACCTTTCACCCCACCACTGCAGACAACTCTGTGGGGGGGGGGGCGCTCCCCCCCAAACGTTCCCACTGCCTGCAGAGGTCCCGCTGCCTGCAACAGCACACAGTCCTCAGCCAAGTCAGTGCGGACACCGCCCGCAGGGAAGGGGATGGACAGGCCTCCACGCAGGGTACGCCCCCGGGGAATTTTCTGGGATTCGTGGACCCGGAGCCTGGGACAGGGAGCCCCGTGACTCTCCTGGAAGCTCTGCCGGGCGCAGGGCGCGCGCTACACCGCGGAGGTCTGGCCAGGGCCTCGGTCCATCCCGGGGCAGCGACCGCCCAGGCCCAGCCGGAAGCTCGCGCCCCACAGGCCTCACCTGCACCTCACCTGGGCGGCCGCGCGGCTCCCTGTCCGCCCGGCCTCGCCGGCTTTCGAGGAACGCGGAGCG